TTCCCCCTAGCCTTAGCTAGGGAGTTAGTTCCCCATAAAATAAAACTAAAACAGAAATTTAGAACTAGAAGAATTGGAGGAAGGAGAGAGATCAAGAGAAGATTGTGAGCTTCGTGTGTTTTGAAGCTTGAAGACTTCTCTATTTATAGGGCTAAGAAGAAGGAACATCATGATGAATTCCAACACCACCATTCATATTCCAATACAATCCATAACTCCCACTTCATCTTGTCTAAGTTAGTGTGGTTGGAATCAATTCCATCACATACTTCTTTTAGCATGGGTGTGGCACTTCATGCATTCTTTTCAATTCTTTAGCTGTTGCACCTCAAGCTTTCTTCACATGGGTATTCAAAGGTGTTCAATTATGGCTGCCTTTTGCTGCCAACCCATGTGGGTTTTCTTTTGGTTGCCGGAAAAAACGATTCTTCTGAACTAGGCTTGGTGTAGGAAGGCCTGAGGTTTCAATATATATCCAATGGGGCTCAAATTTGGATATGTTATAATAGACACCCATTGGAACAATTTTCATGAAGAATGCATTCCCATCTGAGAAGTAAAAACGTGTGTTTTGGGGCTTGCAAGCTGACTGCCGAAAATGGACTGGAGTTTGGGCTTCATTTCTTTTCTCTCATTGGGCTGCTGCACAAGAAATAGCTACCTAATAAGAAATTCAACTGAATTAGCCTTTATTTCAATGAAGTGCAAATGGATTTATAAAATGCAATGTAACATTCTAATTAGTTCAAAATTCATTGAAATAAAGTACTATCAAATATAGATTAGGGATAGAAATTGTAATAATTATGTGTTTATCACTGTCTATATTTTTGTTTGAAATGATCATGTATCATGTACACATGATCTCTTTTTAGGGGCAAATTAGACTTCTCGCATGGGGTGGTTTCTGATATGGCATCCCAACGCAATAACAAAGTGATACTTGTGTTAACCAAGGTGGTTGGTGTGAGTGGTTCGATACTCTCATTCCTTAAGAGAGGTCAGGGGTTCGATCCCTGCTCTCGTATGGAGTCACCACTTTGGCCAGCACTTTACCCCTTACTCCGCCTCTAGGACTAGTAGTGCTGCTGCATTGGAGCTTGCGGCAGTCCACGGGACGTGCAGCTGGCGAAGCACATTCCCTTGCAGATCTCTGATTCAACTTACCAGGAATGCAGTTCTTGCGACCATTGATATTATTTTTGTTAGCAGCAGTAGCAGCACAAGTAGGAGCCTCTCCGGTGAAATAGTTGAAAGAATAGGTGAAGTTGTGCAGACGAGGTAGCTGGCAAATACTGGCTGGAATGACACCCGTGAGTCTGTTGCGGGCCACGTCCAGCTGCTCCAAGCTCTTCATGTTTTTGCCGATGGTGGAGGGAAGAGGCCCTTGAAGTCGGTTGAAGCTGACATCAAACACCGTGAGATTGGTGAGGAGGCCGATCTGGGGAGGCAAGCAGCCGGTGAGATTGTCATTCAAGAGGATGATCTCGTTGAGCGTCTTGGCCATGTTACCAATGCTGCCAGGAATGCAACCCCCGAGATTGTTGTTGGCCAACACCAGAACCGAAACGGGAGAGTTGCCGAGATTGGGAGGGATGCCAAATTGGAACCTGTTGTCGTTGAGGAAAAGGGCATCCAGATCCTTGTCGAAGAGCTGGGAGGGAACGGAGCCTTCGAACTCGTTGAAGCGGAGATCCAAGTACTTGAGGGAAGGCAAGGAGAACACTACTTTGGGGAAGTCTCCCACAAAGCGGTTGTTGCTGAGGTCGAGCTCATGGAGCAGCTTCATGCGCCGCAAACTGCTAGGGACGACGCCGCAGAAGCGGTTGGAGTTGAGGTGGAAGAACGCCAGGTCTGAGAGGAGGCCTAGCTCTGGAGGCAGATAGCCAGCAATGTCAGCGTGGTTGAGGTCGATGCCGGCGACCACACGGCCCTGTGCACCGGTGGACTTAGGAGCACAGAATACGCCCATGTAGGAGCACATGTCCGAGCCATTCCAGCTGGAGGTGAAGTTGAATGGGTCCGAGAAGATGGCGGCCTTCCAAGCTTGGAGGGCAATGTAGGCTTGGCGAAGCCTTGGGTTCTCAAACTTGAGGGCTGGATCTACTTTCACCACACCCAAAGATCCTTCACCACTACTAGTACTAGAAGTGGTGGCGGCTGCCCACACCAACAAAACAAGCAGCAAGGAGGAGGAGGAATGCGGAGGAGGAGGACGACGAGACATTGGTCAGGTGGAGCAAATTTCAGGCAGGCAGTCAGTCACATGAGCCGTCAAAGTCTGTCTCATGAGAGAGATTTTATTTTAATTTGGACTGTGTGCCATTCTCATCTCCCCATGCCCTGTTTATAGAAATCCCTTTTTCTATTGGAGTTTACATTTTATTTGAATTTCAGTTTTAGTATTTTAGTTAGGGTTTATGCAGTAGATATGCAATAATGGTTACAGTGTGAATAAGATAACAATAAATGGGGGACATTTGAAATTTATGTCATATGTTGATATGAATCATGACATGCTGGCACGTCTTGGGAGATGGTCTCTGTTTTTGCCCCATTTATGCATACACAAGTGAAGTTTCTTACTTGCCACCAGAAAATCAACAGCCTGAAGAACTGTCAATATGTCCACAAGCTCCCTGACAGTGCTTAGCCTCAACTGATCTGCCTCCTCCAAAATTCTCACCATGGCTTGGCCATGCTCATCCAGAGCCTCCTCCACTTCTCTGTTCATCTCCCCAAATTGGCTAAAACCCTTTGCAATTATTTGCAATTGGCTGATCTGCTATGTCCTTTCGCAGAGCTGCCAGCTCCACGCCAACCTCTCAGAACCTCATCTCGCCAATTTTGCCCATCAAATACTCCACAAACCCAGAAAGTAGTCTTAGAGAATGGCGTCGGTGGCTAGAGTAGATCTAGACAGCAAACCAATAAAGCAAATGATATTGGTTGGACCAAGACTTGGTGCTGAGAACCCACAGAAAAGGATAAGCTCTCTACCTCATAATCTCTTATATTATATTATTATTATACACTATTTAATATCATCATTAGTGCAGATGTGTTGTGGCAGTGGAAAAGCAGGAGGCATGGATTCAAACCTGTGGAAAAATCACTTTAATGTGATAATATATAATATTAATAAGAAAGCTGTTTTGGTTTGGTAGAACATATTATAATGGTTATATAATATATTAATATATTATATAATCTATACATATGAAGAGTTGCGGTTTTACTATAATATATTATAGTAATTCTATTATTATACTTTGAATGGAGGGTTTTCACCTTCTATATTTTTAGTGGTGGTTTTTATCCCCGCATTTACACTATTTACTGTATGGTGTAGGTTTATTACCCATACAATGTATTTACTGTATGGTGTAGGTTTATTGCCCATACAACAGTATTTATTTAAAAGTGTGGCGCGGGTTTATCGTCCACACAACTGCCTT